TACATGTTTAAAGGTTAGGCTGGTGAATGTAATAGTAATTCATTATATTCAATTGAGCCCTACATTGTATTGAGTTTAAAGCCAAATTTATAGATCTTTTTCAGATCAACATGGCTGGAACCAAGCCCGCAAGATTGAAAGTTGTCTTTGGGGAAAACAACTCTGAATAACATACCAAAGTTCTTGGATGACCTGCTCAAAACGATAAAAAGTGTCTTTCAGTTAAAAGGCAGCATTAGACTGCAATATATGGACCAAGATTTTGGCAACGAGTTCTTCAATTTGACTTCTATCTCTGAACTCAGGGATTTGGGGACAGTAAAGGTGATTCAGCAGCACACTAACCCAACTTTGACCAGCACCCCTGTTGAGACTGCATCTCACTCAACCTCACATGGCTCTGATGACAGCATTTCATAGTATCAGATGACACTGTGATCCTGTAATTCTCTGAGTCTGTGTCGTCCCGAACATCCAACTCGAGAGGGCAAATGCTGAATACCAGGTTAGCCAAACAATGCTGACTGTCAGCTCCAAGATGAAGTCCGATATACTGGATAAACTAGCAGAGGAAATCTTCAAATACAAGGCCTACCAGAATAATTAGACTTCTGTGCCATTTCAGAGGCCTTAATCAGTAAGCATCCTTGTTTGAAAGAGCCTGGCTCCTTCAATGGCTGCTACGACAATGGCTGCTACGGCTGGAAACAAAGACTGAAGCACAAAATGGGAAACTACAGGACTCAGCTCAAATCACACGGGTGTCCTGAGCTCTCAGTTAACTCAATGAAATCCAAAGCAGCTGAAGATGCTTTCCCTGCTAAAAAGGTGAAGAAGCCAAAACGAGCTGAGGCTAACTTCTACCCATCCTTGCCAATTGGTGAAACTCCCCAAAGCATTGAAAAATAGAGACTTGTACTTCTTAAAGAGATTTGAAAAAGGAACAATGAGAGGACAGTCGTGGATAAAATGGCTCAGACTTTTGCTTACAGATGTCAGGAGGTGGTGAACAAGGAACCCAGGATTGCGGACGTCAAGGCCAGATGGCCTGCTCTGTTCCAACAGAAAGAGGTCAAATGAGAGGATGTAGAAGCTGGAGTGACTGGTTATGATACCTTGGTCACAATTTGGGAAAGTTGAGAGAAGATAGATGATGTAGGTGATATTTATTGACACGGTGGAGGTAGTTGTAGTGATCCCCTCCACTGCCCTGCTGTCTTATGTTTCAGATCAATGCTGAGTTCTTGAGGCTCACGACGGTTCCCCTGGAATCTAAGTTCATGGCCCAGTTAGACATGCTTTCAACTCAACTGATTAGTGTCATCAAGGCAAAGGGAGGCTATTTGAAGAATCTCAAATCTCAAATATATTTTGATTAGTTTAACACTTTTTTGGTTACTACATGATTCCACATGTGCTATTTCATAGTTTTGATGTCTTCACTATTATTCTACAATGTAAAAAAAATTGTAAAAATAATGAGTAGGTGTCCAAACTTTTGACTGGTAGTGTATGTACTAAACTTGGTTTATCCAAAGCCAGTCCGTTTCATTTTTTAAGTGTTACAGAAATTCCTAATGCAGCTTGATCGATACAAGTGCATTATCTTTCTTGCAAACTGCAAGGCTCACAGTAATCAACACCAAGGTGTTGATAGTGTTTCTCTTATGCTTTATGTTGTTTACAGATTTGACACTTAACTTGATTTTGGTTACAGATTTGAGTTCATTTCAGTGTGTGCAAGGAAGTTCCAGGTAGCTCCTAACATAAACAAACCATTCAAAGTTCAAATATACCTCTAAATAGTTTGGTTTATTCATACAGCCAGAAAAACCACTTTGATTTTATACTATGGGGAAAAAGTTGTTTAAATAAGGAGTTGTCTTTCTTGAGCTTTCACTTATTGGCCAAGTTCATCAAAACATTTTCAAGGAAGCTCCAGGTAGCTCTTAACAAAAAGCAACCATCATGGACCCTAACAGCTGAATATTAAGTGGAATGGAGCATTTTCTTGCTGTGCTGTTGGTTAGATTTGACTTCATATCGTCGCTGTCGAGTGAAAGTATTGTATCTTCAAATATCAGGAAATTGAATTTAGAATGTTTTTTCAATGTTAATAAATGGTCAAATTGTAATTAGGTTGTATTTTAGATAAGTGTCTTTGCTCATAGAGCTGTGAGATTTTATGAGTTTCAAAAAGGATTGTCCTGCCTTTCAATTTATATGTAAAAATATATATCTTCACATTTGGAGTTGCACGGGTTTCACCCGACAGCAATGATATGCTCTGTCTCTGAAAAGATTGTTAAATGTACAACAGCACTCTACTTACCATGTGTATGGTAGCTTCTACAGTTTTATTGAAGTTCAAATACCGTACCTGGAAATAATTATGTTTATTAATGCAGGTTGCAAATGCACTTATTTTAAAAGGAATTCTTTCACAAATATTGAACCTTTAATAAGAGGAAGTGTTACATTTGTTTACATACTGTATATGTATTTGCACTGTGTTCAAAAGCACTTTATTGGTCTAATAAATGTGAGACTTGAAGAAAATCTATGTTTTGAGTCATACTTAGGTGTTTGTAAATCAACCTAATATTTTGTTTAGCAGGAAATTGGTTCTATTACATGTTACCAATTGAAGTAACACAGTTGGGTTCCTCCAATCCAGGGATTTGCTTTCATCCAAGTTGCTTTTTTTGGTTGGAATTTAATAGTATTTTAGTTTTTGGTCAAGTAAATAATCAAGTTTTTTAAATTAGGTTGTACTGAGGTAAATTATTTACTTAATTGTAATCAAATGATACAAGTAGCATTAACTTAATAATTTACATCAATCCAAAGTATATATTTGTCTTGAAAAAACTAAACTTATTTGCGTGTTACCACTTGAAGTAACTCATTCAAGTTTATCCAATGATTCACTTTTTTTCAGTGTATATCCTTTTGAATATAGAATTCTCTTCGGTCTACTTAGCATAGAGAGATGAAGTGTGCATAGATAATCCTTTATCTCGGATCATGGGACTTTAGCAATGGTAATGACCTTATTATCACTGCAAATGAGTCTTCGCGGTCACTGGTTTTCCAGAGCAGTGAGAGAGAAACAGAAACAGGGTAGGGACAGAGAGAATAACCTCCACAGAGCGTGGTACAATTTACCTACCATAGCATTTTGATGAGGCCTTGCTTTCATGGAACACATCTCATTTCGTCTCTCTCTGCGAGGCTGCACGAAGCTCACCCAAATTAACAAGCTGTTTAATAACGACTCAGCCTTCCACTCCACAGCCCAAAGAGAGATACATTTCATTGGCAGCACAGGGGACCGTGGTTCAAACACTAACACTGCATTGCCTACAGATTAGCCCAAGAGGCCAAAACTAGCTAATGATGAGCATTGGCGGTTGGCTACACTGCCTAGTGTTGATATTTTTGTATAACATTTCTAGAGTTGCAAAGTGTTGATTCAGAAGGTATATTTATACTAGGTAAGAGAGAAATTAACAAGAAATGGTGTAAAATAACCCCAGTGTTGGTGTTAATAACCAGTGTTGAGTGAGATTGTGTAAAACACTCAAAAACACGGCCATTATCATATTTCCCAGCTTTCGTCAGTGTTGGAATGACGTTGGGGTGACTTCCCTTACATGCTGACCAAACCGGCCGGGTTGCATGCGCGAGTGTTGCAAAATAAATATACACATTCATGTTATTCAATCATTTCATCCAAACTGCTCGTGTGCATCTGCGTAGCTTAGTTCTATTTAGACCCTTGACGCGCTGCAGTTTTCTGCAAGTCCCGCCTCTCCCATCACCTCATTGGTTCTCACAATGATCATACTTCCTGTGCTTCCTGTAAACAAAAGCCAACGTGGGTGCTTGAAAGATGGATGAGGAGAGATTTATCTTGGAAGTAGAGAAGTACACACTTTTATATGACCTAGCAAAAAAATTATATGGATCTAAGGATCCAGCGAAAAAAAGATGCGGTCTGGAGAGAGATTGCAAAGACCATGCGCATTTCAGGTAAAGTATAACAACCCCAATGTTCATCCCCCAGTATAAAACTAGCTAGCTAGCTGGCTAGCTTAATGTAACTGGCATGTGTGCTATGTGCTTTTTTATACAGAAATCCTCCGTAGCCAAGAGTTATGTGAGATATGGTTTCGGTGACAAATTACTAGTATTTTTTTGTTCTTTGGTGAAATAATGGTGGAATGGTAGTTGTAAAGTGTAGAATGAATACACAAAACAAATGAATATGTTGTCAAAGGTGAACATACTGTCACATTTGAATAAACAATCAGATGGAAAGCTTTTTTAACTACACACACACACACACACATAATCATACACAATCACACACAATCACACACAGTGCATCTAAGTAGTCCTAGCTCAGCATTTCCCAAACTCAGTCGTTGGGACCCCAAGGGGTGCACGTTTTGTTTTTTTTGCCCTAGCACTACGCAGCTAATTCAAATAATCAATTAAATCAAAGCTTGATGATTAGTTGATTATTTGAATCAGCTGTGTAGTGCCATGGCAAAACCCAAAATGTGCACACCTTGGGATCCCGAGGACCGAGTTTGGGAAACCCTGGCCTAGCTACAAACATTTACATCATTTAGCAGACACTCTTATCCAGAGCGATTTACAAATTGGTGCATTCAATTTATGATAGCCAGTGGGACAACCACCCTATTATAAAAACTGCCACAGAGGTGAAATACTTGGTAAGCTTTTCCCTGAGAGAAAACTGCCTCCTGACCTGCTCTGTTGGTCAGGATGGCTATGCCTCTCATACCTTGCCTCATCCCCAGCCCCACTCTGTTGTTGCCACATCTCCACATCACAAGGCTTTGTGAGGAAGTTATGGAGGGGGCACATTGCAACCACTAGGGTATCAACCTTGCAGTAGGTTGATCTTCTTGTAGAGGATCCTCCATCTGGCCGCAAGGATCGCGAATGCCTTCTCCACTGTCATTCTAGCTCAACAGAGATGATAGTTGAAAACGTCTTTCTCGTAGCTGTTTGTTGTGCCCGGCATTTGGCCTCATCAGGTAGGGCTTTAGTGGGAAGACAGCACCCACCATTGTGTATGGTATCTTTCTCAACTCTTCACCCCCAGGCAGAAAGGCATCTTGGGGCACCTGCAGGGTTTTTGCCACCATTCCCCTTCCAAGTGGGGAGTTGGCATAGACTCCACCATCGCTGTTTTCTCCAGAAATCCCCCAGTTGAATAGCTGTGAAGCAGTAGTTGGCATCCACAAGGGCAAGTAGCACCACAGAGCAGGTTCCTTTATTTTGTAGTTTGGTGGTTTGGTAATCTGAAACATGTTTTCTGTCAACCGACCCCAAACAATTGGGAATATACCATTTTGCCTTAAACTCTTGAGCAGTTTGCCTCAAGACTTCTTCAGTGGGTCGTGGCAGATAGGTTGCAAGCATCCTCCTCTCTATGGCCTCACAGGTCTCCATAATGCACTGTGACGCTGTCTCAAATCCAAGACGATAGGTGAAGGCCAGGCTGCAATGCCAAGTACCTCTAATGACAAAATAAAAGTTTTGTTATTGGTTAGCAATCATGTCTATTTTAATCTTCACAGATGTTGAATTGTGCAAAACCAGATGAAGTCCTTCCGTGACAATTTGTAAGGCATCTACAGAAGACTCAACCCAGCGGTTCTGCGGGGGAACATATTATAATTCTTGATACCTTACATCCAGCCAAGAAGGTAAGTTACAATATACACTGAGCGTACAAAAACATGTGGAACACCTGCTCTTTTCATGACATAGACTGACTAGGTGAATCCAGGGTGAAAGCTATGATCCATTATTGATGTCACTTGTTAAATCGACTTCAATCAGTGTAGATGAAGGGGAGGAGAGAGGTTAACTATGTATTTTTAAGCCTTGAGACAATTGAGACATGGATTGTGTATGTGTGCCATCCAGAGGGTGAATGAGCAAGACAAACAGGGTATGGTAGTAGGTGCCAGGCGCACCGGTTTGAGTGTGTCAAGAACTGCAACGCTGCTGGGTTTTTCACACTCAACAGCTTCCAGTGTGTATCAAGAATGGTCCACTACCCAAAAGACATCCAGCCAACTTGACACAACTGTGGGGAAGCAGTAGAGTCCATGCCCCGACGAATTGAGGCTGCTCTGAGGGCAAAGGGGGTGCAACTCAATATTAGGAAGGTGTTCCTAATGTTTTGTACAGTCACTGTACATTTGGATTGATTGCACTGAATTCCGAACGTCAAGGTCTGCAGTATTGCCGGCCTTATTCCTACCTGCTAAGTAACTTCCTGATTGATTACAAATTCTGAATTAGTGTTTATAAAGTCCCTTTTTAGAGAGGAATGATGAAAACCAGCAGTGCTATAGACTTTGTGGCCCAGATTTGAGAAATATGATTAATTTAGCCTGAGCTGTTTCAAAAGTTTACTTAAACACATTTTACTTTCATTTATACTGTATGTTGACCTATTTTCAGCTCAAAAGGCAACCTCAGTCTTGAAAATGCTGATTCACAACCTGTGGATCCTGATGACACTGAGGACGACATGGGGTCCCCGAGCCATGACCCTGTGCTTCAGACGCCTGAACAACAGTCAAGACCCAACCCACTACAGACACGGCTCAAGACTGGCAGCCAAGAAAACAGAAGGTCATCCATCAAGATGTGAATGAAGAGCTGCTTCCGTTTGTCAGGAAGCCAATCCCTTCTGCTGCTATCTAAGAGGATGAGGATGAGGCATTTGTGCTCAGCCGTGTGCCAGAGCTAAAGAAAATAGGAAGAAGAACAAGTCTGAGAGTGCAACTACTATCATTGATTGTAAAACTGGGATGACCAGCAGGCAACACCTCTGCCCACCACCTCCACCACCACAATGGCTCTTCGGTGCACCGCATGGAAGACATGGACTGCAGCCTATGATGTATGGCCAGCTCAGGCATCAATACTCCTACTCACCAAGACCTAGGTCTCCAACACTAACTGGGATGACCAGCAGGCAACACCATTGCCACCACCACAGCCCGCAAGTACTCCGCACGGAAGAGGTGGGACCGCAGCCAATCACGTGCGATGAGCCCAAGGATCACTACTCACCAGAACCTAGGTTTCCAACACATAGCTGGGGATGACGGCTTCAGTACATTCTCTCAAGAGAGCTGGGACAGAGACTCCCATTTAGGGCTGTTGCGGGGACCGTATTACCGCCCACAACTGGCGGTCACGAGTCATGAAGGCAGTCAAATTCCACATGACCGTTTAGTCACGGGTAATTAGGCTTTCTCCCAGCTCTGATGCTGCTGCTGGTTCATTAGTAGCCTACCAAACTTGCTAACTGCCTGATACTCAACACTCTATTGGTCCCTCTCATATAATCAAACACTTCATGAGAGCCCATGAGCTCATGTTGCACAACATTTCTATAGGCTAAGCAATTGCGGGGAAGGGAGAAAAACACATTGATGGCCGCTACTCATCTTGTTGGCTGACGAAAAGTAAATGTCGACAGTTCTTCCAATATCTTCACCTCAGAATTGGATAAGGACGTGCACATTTGCGTCCCCAATGTGTCTGTCTTAACTTGTAGTCTGTGAGAAAAGACCCAATCACGTGACGGAGAGCCATGTGAGTGAGAGACGCCTCGGATTGCGCAGCACACTCAGGGAGAAGGGCACAACGCAGCACTCCGGGCCGCAAAAGGCATGGATGTTTTAGGGTGCATTACGGCCACAAAGGGAATGCCGCCGTGAAATTCAAGGCATTATCAAGTGCTTGTCAAATTGTGAATGAGAGACTATTGGAGTGTGTACAGCCTGAGCAAAAAACAAAGCGGAGCTCTGCCTTTCAAGCAACCTTTTTTCAAATCATCATTTGAGTCTCATCATGCAGCCTTTACAAGTGTATTAAAAATCAAAACATTATAGCCCATGTTTGTTAGAACAACTAAAGTTAAATGAATAACTCTAAATTAAGCATATAGGAGTACCTATTTCTTTTGTTAACCGCTCAACACAGATAGCCACATGTGCGCACTCCCTCAAATCGTTTTGAGAAACATTTATATTTTATTCAGCTTTGTTCAATTGTATCTTCATTCATACTATAAAATTATATAAAATAATGCCACAGAATTAAGCAAAATCTTGTCTACTAAATGAACTAGTGTAGCCCACAGCCATTTGGCATAGCCATATAGGGACAAACTCAGAGTATGCTATTCTTTTCTTCTGAAATACACTATATTTTCTTCATTCATGCTTCTTTAGATCTGTCTAAAATAAATAATGGATTTTTTGTGAAGGTTGTAGACTATATTACATACAGTTGGGGAAAAAAAGTATTTAGTCAGAAACCAATTGTGCAAGTTCTCCCACTTAAAAAGATGAGAGATGCCTGTAATTTTCATCATAGGTACACGTCAACTATGACAGACAAATTGAGGAAAAAAAAATCCAGGAAAATCACATTGTAGGATTTTTAATGAATTTATTTGCAAATTATGGTGGAAAATAAGTATTTGGTCACCTACAAACAAGCAAGATTTCTGGCTCTCACAGACCTGTAAACTTCTTCTTTAAGAGGCTCCTCTGTCCTCCACTCGTTACCTGTATTAATGGCCACTTGTTTGAACTTGTTATCAGTATAAAGACACCTGTCCACAACCTCAAAACAGTCACCACTCCAAACTCACTATGGCCAAGACCAAGAGCTGTCAAAGGACACCAGAAACAAAAGTGTAGACCTGCACCAGGCTTGGAAGACTGAATCTGCATAGGTAAGCAGCTTGGTTTGACAGAAATCAACTGTGGAAGCATTATTAGGAAATGGAAGACATACAAGACCACTGATAATCTCCCTCGATTGGGGCTCACGCAAGATCTCACCCCCGTGGGGTCAAATGATCACAAAGAACGGTGAGCAAAAATCCCAGAACCACCGGGGGGGACCTAGTGAAGACCTGCAGAGAGCTGGGACCAAAAGTAACAAAGCCTACCATCAGTAACACACACTACGCCGCCAGGGACTCAAATCCTGCAGTGCAAGACGTTGTCCCCACGCTTAAGCCAGTACATTGTCCAGGCCCGTCTGAAGTTTGCTAGAGTGCATTTGGATGATCCAGAAGAGGATTGGGAGAATGTCTATGGTCAGATGAAACCAAAATATAACTTTTTGGTAAAAAACTCAAACTCGTCGTGTTTGGAGGACAAAGAATGCTGAGTTGCATCCAAAGAACACCATACCTACTGTGAAGCATGGGGGTGGAAACATCATGCTTTGGGGCTGTTTTTTCTGCAAAGGGACCAGGACAACTGATCTGTGTAAGGAAAGAATGAATGGGGCCATGTATCATGAGATTTTGAGTGAAAACCTCCTTCCATCAGCAAGGGCATTGAAGATGAAACGTGGCTGGGTCTTTCAGCATGACAATGATCCCAAACACACCGCCCAGGCAATGAAGGAGTGGCTTCGTAAGAAGCATTTCAAGGTCCTGGAGTGGCCTAGCCAGTCTCCAGATCTCAACCCCATAGAAAATCTTTGGAGGGAGTTGAAAGTCCGTGTTGCCCAGCGACAGCCCCAAAACATCACTGCTCTAGAGGAGATCTGCATGGAGGAATGGGCCAAAATACCAGCAACAGTGTGTGAAAACCTTGTGAAGACTTACAGAAAACGTTTGACCTGTGTCATTGCCAACAAAGGGTATATAACAAAGTATTGACAAACTTTTGTTATTGACCAAATACTTATTTTCCCACCATAATTTGCAAATAAATTCATTAAAAAATCCTATAATGTGATTTTCTTTTTTTTTTTTCTCATTTTGTGTTTCATAGCTGACGTGTACCTATGATGAAAATTACAGGCCTCTCTCATCTTTTTAAGTGGGAGAATTTGCACAATTGGTGGCTGACTAAATACTTTTTGCCCCACTGTATATAGACTTTGTAAAATGGCTTGGAGGCAATGTTTGGAAGCCAGGAGATGCTAAATGTGTTTATGTTAATTAATGGCCAATTACCGTGAGACCGACAGTTATTTGCTTGACAATCACCGGCTGACTAAATTTCGTGACCGCTACAGCCCTACTCACAGTCACATCGATAATCTATTCCTAAAGGCAGATCCCAGTCCTGCATATATGTAGGCCTATGTTCTGTTTAGAAGGCCCTGTGAAAACAGTTTTTAAAAAGGGAAACCAAAAGTTTTTGCATTCACTTTTTTGTAGTTGCAGTTATATTTGTATTGCAGCTTCTATTTAACTATTTTTTAAATCGTTTTTTTTTTTTTTATATTCAGTGGATATTGTAATTGCTGTGCCACCTTGAATAATTATAAATAAAAGACTAAACAAGGAACAGCGTGTCTTACTTACCTTGAGTATAATGAGAAGACACTTCAGCACATGGTGATGTTTGCTGCTCCCTAGATGTAATGGAACATAGGCCTACATCTGTGGAGCATCATGATCACCAGTGCGCTTGAGTTTCTTTACAACTATACTACTGCTTTTTCTCCATGCACCTG